AGAGCTGATCCTGATAAACACACCTGTGACCCTGCAGAGAGCTGATCCTGATAAACACACCTGTGACCCTGCAGAGAGCTGATCCTGATAAACACACCTGTGACCCTGCAGAGAGCTGATCCTGATAAACACACCTGTGACCCTGCAGAGAGCTGATCCTGATAAACACACCTGTGACCCTGCAGAGAGCTGATCCTGATAAACACACCTGTGACCCTGCAGAGAGCTGATCCTGATAAACACACCTGTGACCCTGCAGAGAGCTGATCCTGATAAACACACCTGTGACCCTGCAGAGAGCTGATCCTGATAAACACACCTGTGACCCTGCAGAGAGCTGATCCTGATAAACACACCTGTGACCCTGCAGAGAGCTGATCCTGATAAACACACCTGTGACCCTGCAGAGAGCTGATCCTGATAAACACACCTGTGACCCTGCAGAGAGCTGATCCTGATAAACACACCTGTGACCCTGCAGAGAGCTGATCCTGATAAACACACCTGTGACCCTGCAGAGAGCTGATCCTGATAAACACACCTGTGACCCTGCAGAGAGCTGATCCTGATAAACACACCTGTGACCCTGCAGAGAGCTGATCCTGATACACACACCTGTGACCCTGCAGAGAGCTGATCCTGATCCTGATAAACACACCTGTGACCCTGCAGAGAGCTGATCCTGATAAACACACCTGTGACCCTGCAGAGAGCTGATCCTGATAAACACACCTGTGACCCTGCAGAGAGCTGATCCTGATAAACACACCTGTGACCCTGCAGAGAGCTGATCCTGATAAACACACCTGTGACCCTGCAGAGAGCTGATCCTGATAAACACACCTGTGACCCTGCAGAGAGCTGATCCTGATAAACACACCTGTGACCCTGCAGAGAGCTGATCCTGATAAACACACCTGTGACCCTGCAGAGAGCTGATCCTGATAAACACACCTGTGACCCTGCAGAGAGCTGATCCTGATAAACACACCTGTGACCCTGCAGAGAGCTGATCCTGATAAACACACCTGTGACCCTGCAGAGAGCTGATCCTGATAAACACACCTGTGACCCTGCAGAGAGCTGATCCTGATAAACACACCTGTGACCCTGCAGAGAGCTGATCCTGATAAACACACCTGTGACCCTGCAGAGAGCTGATCCTGATAAACACACCTGTGACCCTGCAGAGAGCTGATCCTGATAAACACACCTGTGACCCTGCAGAGAGCTGATCCTGATAAACACACCTGTGACCCTGCAGAGAGCTGATCCTGATAAACACACCTGTGACCCTGCAGAGAGCTGATCCTGATAAACACACCTGTGACCCTGCAGAGAGCTGATCCTGATAAACACACCTGTGACCCTGCAGAGAGCTGATCCTGATAAACACACCTGTGACCCTGCAGAGAGCTGATCCTGATAAACACACCTGTGACCCTGCAGAGAGCTGATCCTGATAAACACACCTGTGACCCTGCAGAGAGCTGATCCTGATAAACACACCTGTGACCCTGCAGAGAGCTGATCCTGATAAACACACCTGTGACCCTGCAGAGAGCTGATCCTGATAAACACACCTGTGACCCTGCAGAGAGCTGATCCTGATAAACACACCTGTGACCCTGCAGAGAGCTGATCCTGATAAACACACCTGTGACCCTGCAGAGAGCTGATCCTGATAAACACACCTGTGACCCTGCAGAGAGCTGATCCTGATAAACACACCTGTGACCCTGCAGAGAGCTGATCCTGATAAACACACCTGTGACCCTGCAGAGAGCTGATCCTGATAAACACACCTGTGACCCTGCAGAGAGCTGATCCTGATAAACACACCTGTGACCCTGCAGAGAGCTGATCCTGATAAACACACCTGTGACCCTGCAGAGAGCTGATCCTGATAAACACACCTGTGACCCTGCAGAGAGCTGATCCTGATAAACACACCTGTGACCCTGCAGAGAGCTGATCCTGATAAACACACCTGTGACCCTGCAGAGAGCTGATCCTGATAAACACACCTGTGACCCTGCAGAGAGCTGATCCTGATAAACACACCTGTGACCCTGCAGAGAGCTGATCCTGATAAACACACCTGTGACCCTGCAGAGAGCTGATCCTGATAAACACACCTGTGACCCTGCAGAGAGCTGATCCTGATAAACACACCTGTGACCCTGCAGAGAGCTGATCCTGATAAACACACCTGTGACCCTGCAGAGAGCTGATCCTGATAAACACACCTGTGACCCTGCAGAGAGCTGATCCTGATAAACACACCTGTGACCCTGCAGAGAGCTGATCCTGATAAACACACCTGTGACCCTGCAGAGAGCTGATCCTGATAAACACACCTGTGACCCTGCAGAGAGCTGATCCTGATAAACACACCTGTGACCCTGCAGAGAGCTGATCCTGATAAACACACCTGTGACCCTGCAGAGAGCTGATCCTGATAAACACACCTGTGACCCTGCAGAGAGCTGATCCTGATAAACACACCTGTGACCCTGCAGAGAGCTGATCCTGATAAACACACCTGTGACCCTGCAGAGAGCTGATCCTGATAAACACACCTGTGACCCTGCAGAGAGCTGATCCTGATAAACACACCTGTGACCCTGCAGAGAGCTGATCCTGATAAACACACCTGTGACCCTGCAGAGAGCTGATCCTGATAAACACACCTGTGACCCTGCAGAGAGCTGATCCTGATAAACACACCTGTGACCCTGCAGAGAGCTGATCCTGATAAACACACCTGTGACCCTGCAGAGAGCTGATCCTGATAAACACACCTGTGACCCTGCAGAGAGCTGATCCTGATAAACACACCTGTGACCCTGCAGAGAGCTGATCCTGATAAACACACCTGTGACCCTGCAGAGAGCTGATCCTGATAAACACACCTGTGACCCTGCAGAGAGCTGATCCTGATAAACACACCTGTGACCCTGCAGAGAGCTGATCCTGATAAACACACCTGTGACCCTGCAGAGAGCTGATCCTGATAAACACACCTGTGACCCTGCAGAGAGCTGATCCTGATAAACACACCTGTGACCCTGCAGAGAGCTGATCCTGATAAACACACCTGTGACCCTGCAGAGAGCTGATCCTGATAAACACACCTGTGACCCTGCAGAGAGCTGATCCTGATAAACACACCTGTGACCCTGCAGAGAGCTGATCCTGATAAACACACCTGTGACCCTGCAGAGAGCTGATCCTGATAAACACACCTGTGACCCTGCAGAGAGCTGATCCTGATAAACACACCTGTGACCCTGCAGAGAGCTGATCCTGATAAACACACCTGTGACCCTGCAGAGAGCTGATCCTGATAAACACACCTGTGACCCTGCAGAGAGCTGATCCTGATAAACACACCTGTGACCCTGCAGAGAGCTGATCCTGATAAACACACCTGTGACCCTGCAGAGAGCTGATCCTGATAAACACACCTGTGACCCTGCAGAGAGCTGATCCTGATAAACACACCTGTGACCCTGCAGAGAGCTGATCCTGATAAACACACCTGTGACCCTGCAGAGAGCTGATCCTGATAAACACACCTGTGACCCTGCAGAGAGCTGATCCTGATAAACACACCTGTGACCCTGCAGAGAGCTGATCCTGATAAACACACCTGTGACCCTGCAGAGAGCTGATCCTGATAAACACACCTGTGACCCTGCAGAGAGCTGATCCTGATAAACACACCTGTGACCCTGCAGAGAGCTGATCCTGATAAACACACCTGTGACCCTGCAGAGAGCTGATCCTGATAAACACACCTGTGACCCTGCAGAGAGCTGATCCTGATCCTGATAAACACACCTGTGACCCTGCAGAGAGCTGATCCTGATCCTGATAAACACACCTGTGACCCTGCAGAGAGCTGATCCTGATAAACACACCTGTGACCCTGCAGAGAGCTGATCCTGATGAACGTCATGTTGTTGTACGTCAGTTTTAGACCCATACCATGTAACATTCACGAAAACCAAAGAATACATGTTTGAAAAGACGTACTTCTGGTTGCCAGAAGGTGGCGCAATCACCATGACACCTACTGTGCATGTAGTTGGCTTCAGGCCTTCAGTCTTATTAAACATGTGAAGTTTGGTGCAGATTGAACAAGGTACACGAAGTTACAACTTCCTGTTTAGTGGTGACACATGGAAATTTGACAGCTCGCCACGGTCACACGGTTCAATGAAAGCTCAAGCTTTCAGCAACTGTTGATGTCCATGGTCTTCAGATGGTACAGACCAAATTTGAAGTCAATCTGATTAAATCTGTAGGAGGAGTTTGTTAAAGTACGACCTCTGGAAATGGCCAAAAATGCACAAAAAATTCACAATAAATTAAAAATGGCTGACTTCCAGTTAGGTTTAGAGTACGGCTCAGTTTGACCTTTTTGTACGTCTTGGAACGTTCCATGTGTCTACCAAGTAGCGTACCTGTAGCTGAAACCAGCTTCAGGGGCTGCTTCATAGAAATGTTGTAGGGGGTGCTACTGAACCCGAGAACGAGACCCCCAAAATATCAGATATTTCACCAGACGTAATGTGTGTGAAGTTTCAGGAGTTTTTTTTTTTTTTCAGATTGTTAAACCTCAAAAATGTAATTCATTTGGAGGAAGAACAAAAACCCCTTGGATTTCAACAGGGTCCTCGAACTGCACCCCCTTTGTCCTGGAACTGTACCCCCTTTGTGCTGAGGACCTAATTATATGACCACAGTATTAATACATATATACATAAATATGATGATTCCAATGAATAAAGAGGAGTAAAATAAATTAAACATCTAAACACTGGGGAAAACTGCCATCTGAAGTTCCCCTTGTTTCTGTCAGTTCTGCTGCAGGACCAGACCAAGTCCAGGACCAGGACCAGGACCAGGACCGGACCCAAACCAGGACATATGAGTGTGAAGGATTTCATATTCACTGAGGTTTGGTTTGAAAATACAACAGAAACAAAAAGTTTGTTGGACATTTTTTAATAGTGTTTGTTTAAAAAGCTGCAGAGTGAAGACAGATAAACAAAACAATCATAAATAAATAAATAAATAACAATAATAAAGTGAAAACGAACTGAGCTGTTCAGCCATCATAGATCTTTATATTCATCTACACTGTTACATACCTGCTCTGAGGAAGGAGGTTGGTGTGTACAGTATGGTTTAGGGGTCAGTCGCACCCACAGGGCTCACCTCTGGTCTGAAGTCGGTCCTAACTTGGCATTCTGAGTCTTGGTTACACCGGTGGCACCAACAGGTTTCACAGGTCTGAAGTCGTAACTTGGCAGACTCGGTAGTCCAGTTAAAGGCCTACAAAGACCTTGAGATACTCAAACTGTCTCACTCGGGGCAGTGACTCACTCCACAGTATCATGGCGTCAGATTTGGAGGTGCTGACCCTCATTCTTCCTGCTTCATACTACAAACCATCCCAGTCTACACTGAAGGTCACACAGATGAAGCCAGCAGCAAAATCACAACACCCACTGAGAAAATGCACAAGTTCCTGCCAAAAACACGGACACAACTCTTGCTCAGTTATTCAAGGACTGGATGAACTGTAGCAGCAGCACACAAGACACCTTGAAGGACACCGTCATCAGCTGTCATAAGTCCACAAAACCCATCCAGACAGGATGGCGAACCCTCCAGTATCATTGCTAAGTTGGAATCCCCATTAGTTCAACTGAATCTGAGGTTCAAGATTCCAAAGTCAGTTTTCCAGCACCCTTACAGAAGCTGAGCAGAGTGATACCCTGGTAGTTAGTACACATCCTCCAGTCTCCTTTTTCAAGGAGGGACCACCACCCTAGTCTACATACACTGTCTCCATGTTTCTCTACAGAGGGTGGGTCGGCAGAGTTTAGGAGTTCCTAAAAGTGCTCCTTCCAACAATATCCTCACTAAAGGGAAGCAGTTTTCTTTCTCTACTGAAAACAGCGAGGCCTTGCCTGAGCTGCACAACAGTTTGACATAAACTCTCTGAGGCCAAACCAAAGTCTTTGTCCGTGGCCTCCACAAAATTCTCCTGTAATTGACCTGGTTTCATAAAGCCCTACCTTCACTAAACCTTCTCTACTGCTTCAGGAGATTCCCACGTTAACATCCTCCATCCCTAGTCATGCCCATATGTGGGTTCTTTGGTTACCACCACGACAAGTACCAATGACAGCAGCCACTACCAGAATGGGAGCAGTAAATGTGTCCCACTCAGGCTTCATGTCCCCAGCCTCCAAAAGGATGCAGGAAAAATTCCTCCCGAGGTAGAGTTTAACCGAGTGGACGGGGCCTCGATCATATGTTTCCAACTCACCCCTCACTACTTTGGATTTACCAGATCTGTCTGAGAGCTCCCGCCTGATCCACCCAACCAGTTCCATCACCATCAGTTCACCTGATCGTCCGATACAACTACCAGGTTCATCTTTGACCCAAGGTGCCCCCGTACCAAGTGCCATGTCGTGCTCCTCCTGGGGGATCCTGAGGCTTTCACTTTAAATCCAGGCTGAAAACTCACCTGTTCAGGCTTTCCTACTCTCTTTGAGTGGGTACGCCTGAACAGATGTTTTGTTTATGTTAGTTTTGTTTGCTTTTTAAACTAATATTTGTTTGTTGTTAAATGTTGAATTATCTTTTACTTTCTATTTTATTGTATTTTACTCTGTAAGGCGACCTTGAGTGTCATGAAAGGTGGCCAGAAATAAAATGTATTTTGTATTATTATTATTATTATTATTATTATGTGGGCAGAACAGGTGTCAGGTATACTACCAATTGTGTGGCAGGCAAACGTAAGGACCCTGGGAAATGAGTTCTAGGGATGTCACCTCACTGGTAGTGAACAGCCTGAGTTGGTGCAGGAGTACCGGCCATACCAAGTAGATATAATCAATGCAGTGCGCCTGCTCTGGTAACAAACTCTTGTACAGGGCTTGGACTGTCTGCTTTTGTGAGGTGTGGGTTGTGGTAGTTCGGTAATCCCATCAGGGTCCCTCCCTTTAGAGGTACTCTTGGCATGTCCACCTGGAAGCAGGCCCCGGGGCAGATCCAGGGCAGGAATAGCTGTCAGGTATACTGCCAATAGGACAGGCAGATGTGCGGCCCCTGACTATGGAAACTAATTCTAGTGATGTCACCTCACTGGTGGGGAACAGCCTGATTCGTAGTGGGAATACGAGCAGATATACTCTACGACCTGTTCCAGAACCAGACTCTTGTATAGGGTTTGGACTATATCTTCCAGGGTGAAAGGTGTCGGGCAGGTGTAGGGATACTCAGGAGACTCAGACTCGATACAACTACACATTGCTGAAGGCTCTGGCTGTTCTGAATATCTGAATGTCGTCCTGGAGGGGCTGCTGCCTGGGGACTCTGGTTTCTGCTGGGACATGTCAGCAGTGGAAGTGGTGCTTTGATATTGGACTTGTGAACCAGTCAGAGATTGGTTTGCTTCTCCTGGGGGATCCTGAGGCTTTCCAAGGCCAGATGAGGTTTGTAATCTCTTACCCTGGATCTGCCCCAGGGTCTGCGCCCACAGTACCTCTAAAGGGAGGTATGCTGTTCGGATTCCTGAAACACCTAAACCAACATCCTTTAACATGAAGGAGCAGCAGTTCTCCTGATGTCACAGCTCCATGATCTCCTTTCAGACACCACCGAATGCTCACAACCGGAGCTGAAGGTTGGAGCGTAGATTGACTGGTAAGTTGAGAGCTTTGGTAGTCTGGTAAAAGGCCTACAAAGACCCTGGGGTACTTGAACTCTTTAACTTTGGGCAGTGAGTCGCTCCCAGTCAACCATGTCCCAGCAGAGTATCACTGCCCATAACCACCATCATGCTCTGGCATCAGTTCAGGTAGTCCACAGTGAACATACATAAATAAATCCACCTGTGATGTGGTTTTAATTTTACTGAGATGACAATGAAACATCTCAAACACCTCAAATCAGACTTCCTCCTCACAGTCGCCTCGGTCCGTTCACTCTCTAGATGTTTCTCAAAAACTTTAAGATTCTGGATTCTTCTTTTTCAAACCACAAATTAAAACCAGGGAGTTGTTTCCACTGTCACAGGTTCACATGACATCCACAAAGAAATCACTGGGGTTTCCCATGGCCATGCAAAAGGACTGTCGGGGATCTGCGAGGTCGCGGCGCTGACCTCGAGGTGGCTAGGGGGCCGGAGGGAGGTCCTCTGAGTCTTTGTTACCATGGAGACCAGAGAAGGAGGTCGGGGGTGTCCGTGTGCCATCGTCATCACCAGGGGACTCTGCCGCCAGTTGTTTGTCAGTTGAAGCACTCACTTCCTGCTTGTTGGGCTCTAATTGGCTGCCTCGTCCTTTCTCGTTCAGACCGTCGCTACAGTTTGATCCGCTGCTGTGACTTCCTGTACAAAATAAAACATGACATTGTTACCTCTTTACAGCAACATGCCGCCATATTAAAGTCATCCTAAACCTCCATATTGTTTCTGTTGTTATTTTGATCGGTTGTGTACAGACGACATCCACTTCCTATCTATCTGCCCTGAAGAAGGATCCCTCGTCTGTTGATCAGGGGTGGAGGGTCGGGGGACTTTTATTAATGGGTGTGGGCGGGTGCGTGTTTGGATCCATGCAGGACTTTGCTTTAAGGGTCAGTTTGTGCATGCTGCAACTTGGACTGCTCACACTGGCAGTCTCAGCTGATGCTAAAGTTCAAACTGGAGCTGCCTGTGAAGGCTGATTATTTTAGAGAGTATTATATAACTGACCACATGGTGGCGCTGTCAGTAACCTGTCTGAATGTGACAGACAGACGTCAAGGGGGAACGGACTGATAAACACTGATTTTATCTTTGCTGCTGCACCCCCTGTGGGCAGAAAGGCAAACCTGCACGTCACTCAGGCCTCTGAGAGCCCGTTAACCAATCACAGAACAGCCTGTATGTTTGACTGTGATGTCACTGACATACGGTCCGAACCACAGCTGATGAAGGTCGGGGAAGAAACATCACATCAGAAGGAACAAATGGTAAAAAGTTTATATTTTGGTGAAAATGAAATAGGAGAAATGTTCCTGCAGCTCTCAGCTGATGATGATGATGGTGATGATGATGGACAGAAACAGATGAAGGTCTGCGAGTCTGGTTTAAAGGCTGATGAATGAATGAATGAATGAATGAATGATGACAAGATGAAGAATGCAGGGTTACAGTTGTCAGCAAAGAAAAACACCTGTGTCACCTTCACTGTGCAGACCTCCTCCTCCTCCTCCTCCTCCTCCCCAAGCCGGCAGCTGGTGAAGGGGGTGAGGCGAGCTGTAGGGGTGAGGGACGGGGTACTGGTAAGGGAAGGCCGGGGGCCACTGGGGGCCCGGGGGCGGAGCCAGAGGGTCACCATCTGAGCCTCCTCCTCGACTGGAGTCTTCCTCATTATCCAGCAGAGTCATCACACCCAGATCTGACGGACAGAACCAGTCACATGATCAGTCCTCACCAGGACCACGTACCAATACTGACAGTACTCACAGGACTACCACTGACAGTACTAACAATACTAACAGAACCTATGCTAATACTTTAAAATCAATGAAGTCACATGACAATGCTGTTTTTTAAAATGCAGCATCATTAGGGACAATAGCAGGGTGTGTCCCCTGAACGCACTGATGGTGAGTTCCCTGCGTCCTCTCAGATTTTAATGTTTCAGGAATACAGGATGCGTGCTGAGCAACATCAGCACACCAGCTGAACTGTTGATTTTCTGTTGACACAAACTGTCCAAATCATTAAAGAGGAGCTGAAGTCAGACAGAATCCAACACATCATAGTTTCATAGCTTATTTATGAATCAGTCCTGATTTAAACTGGCTGACTGATATCAGATATCATGTTTCATGTTTATATTTCTGGATGATCAGCTGGTGAGTTTTGGGACATGTTTGTCGCCATCTTTTGGTCATTAGTGCAGCTGCAGCTGATCATCAAACAGATGAACGTGTGACTGTTGTGGTGTAGAGACACCATACTCACCTCCACAGAGGTCTCCGAACACGTAGTAGCACTGTTCAGAGAAGGTCACCTTGTTGACAGTGTGGCGGATGTAACCAGCCTTTAGCAGGTTCCCTGCATACTTGCGAGATTCGCGGCGATCGGTGAAACCCTCCACATTGCGGTGGAGCCAGTCCACCACGTCTGAACCTGGACGGATTGTAAACTGGAGTTAGATGACAATATTTGTAGAACTCCTCAGATAAATTAAGACAGAAGGAGGACCTCAGGTGGGTTCACAGGATCAGTTGGTTGACAGAGGTTCCTGATAGTTCAGGGTCTGGAGGGTTAAGGTAAGGGTCTCTAGGGTAAGGCTTTGGGGGATTGAAGGGGTCGACTTAGGGTTAACATATATGGAATCATAAATAGGTAAATATAAATTCCTCTTGGGGCTTGATGGAGGGAGCTGGGTTAGTATCAGGGTAGGGGCTTCTTACCTACGAAGGGTTTATATATAGATACATACATATATAGTAAGTATAGTATAGGGAAAATACCCCAAGAGTCAGCGAGAGCTGGGGTGGAAAATGACTCACAGGTGGATTACACGGTAACAGACATTGGAAAGGACACGACTATGACTTGGACCGGTGACTCAGTGAAGGATAGGGGCACGGACCTATCCACCAGTGCTAGAATTAGCAGCACTCAGGGCAAGGTGAGCGCATCTGTAGAGGGCAAAAGTAGCATAGTTGAGAACAAGATGCTTCAGGTTTGTCCTTGCGGCTGGCAGAAAGTAACATCAGTGAAAGGCCTCAGAACTCATCAGGGAAAGAAGAAGTGTGTGGCAAAGAAAGGGCAGAGTAGCCGCATTGATCAGTACTTCCTAAGAAGTCAGTCGAGTCAGTCGGATGAAGTCCAGCGGCAGGTAGAAAACCACAGTTCGCAGGATATCAGTAACGCTGCCACTGAGGAGGAGGGGGTAGTAAGAGAGGATGCAGGTGACACTGAGGCCAGTATGCTAGCCAGAGAAAGAACTATGGAGCAAAAGGTTAGAGTTAGATGGCCTAGAGCAAATGACAGTAAAGAATGGGAGATAGTTAATAGAGACTTGTCAGTAATCTTGAGTAGGCTTAGAGGAAATGCAATACAAAGGTTAGAAAAGATGGGAGATATAATGTATTCATATGGTGTAGAGAGGTTTGGGGTGCATGAGAGAAAGAGGAGTGAGAGGGTACAGTCAGGTAAGTCTAGGCGGCAGAGAGAAATAGAGAAGTTAGTCAAGGAAAGGAGACAGTTAAGAAAGCAGTGGAAAAAGGCTACAGAAGAAGAAAGGGAGGGAATTAAGGTGTTGCAAGAGGAGTTGAGAAGCAGGCTAGCAGTTCTTAGAAGGGCGGAGCATCTCAGGAAAAAGAGGAGGAAGAAGGAATATGCTAGGACAGGTTTTTTCAGGGACCCTTTTAAGTTTGTTAAAGGATTGTTCAGCCAGGAAAAGGGAGGGCAGCTTAAAGCAGAAAGGTTAGAGGTTGAAGAATATTTGAGAAACACGTATTCAGATTTGGAGAAGAATAGGATAGTAGGTTTCCCACCTGATATCCCTCCATTAGGAGGGATAGAGCATGAGATGGATGTCAGGCCACCTAGGTGGAAGGAAGTTCAGGAGGTGGTCAGGCGTGCAAAGGCTTCTTCGGCCCCAGGGCCTAATGGAGTCCCCTACCGGGTTTATAAAAGTGCGCCTGATACCCTTAAATTTTTGTGGAAACAGCTAAGAATAGTTTGGGAAAAACAAATTATACCAAGAGCATGGCGTAGGGCAGGGGGTGTCCTCATTCCTAAGGAGAAGGAGTCTGTGGACCTTAGCCAGTTCCGGATGATTTCTCTCTTGAATGTGGAGGGGAAGATTTTCTTTAGTGTAGTAGCGCAGAGACTAGCTAGCTACTTAGAAAGGAATAGCTTAATAGATACCATGGTGCAGAAGGCAGGAATACCAGGTTTTTCAGGGTGTTTAGAGCATACTAGCATGATCTGGCACCAGATTCAGGCAGCGAAGATTAACAAAAGGGACCTACATGTAATATTTTTAGATCTTGCAAATGCGTTTGGTTCAGTACCGCACAGCCTCATTTGGAGTGCGTTTGACTACTTCAGAGTGCCACAGGTAGTTGTTAACTTAGTGAAAGCATATTTTCAGGATATTAGGTTGTGTCTAAGTACAGCAGGTTTCACAACAGGTTGGCAGAGGCTAGAAATAGGCATCATGGCAGGGTGTACAATTTCTCCATTAGCATTTACTATGGCAATGGAAGTAATCATCAGGGCTTCTAAGTGGGTGGTAGGTGGGGAGAGACGGCAGAATGGGTTGCATCTTCCACCAGTTAGGGCTTACATGGATGACATGACACTGGTGACCACAACAATGCCATGTACAAAGAGGCTACTAGAGAAGGTAAATAAGAACCTCAAGTGGGCCAGCATGAAAATCAAGCCTAGTAAATCTAGAAGCATCTCGATATGTAGAGGGAAGTTAAGTGATAGGAAGTTTGTCATAGATGATGAGGACATCCCAACAATTAGGGAAAAGTCAGTAAAGAGCTTAGGTAGGTGGTACAATGTAGAGTTGAATGATAAGGAACAGGTGGTGAAATTTAGAAAAGATGTGGCTGAAGGATTGGATAGAATAGATAAATCAGAACTTCCAGGAAAGTTGAAGTTGTGGTGTTTGCAATTTGGGCTATATCCTAGGTTAATGTGGCCATTGTCAGTTTATGAAATTCCAATATCTGTTGTGGAGAGAATGGAAAGGTCGGTTAGCTCCTACATTAGGAAGTGGTTGGGCGCTCCTAGGTGCCTAAGTAGTGTTGCATTGTATGGAAAAGGGATACTTCAGCTGCCAGTATCTAGTTTAACAGAGGAATTTAAATGTACCAAGGTCAGGACAGAGCTCTTGTTATCTGGGAGTAAGGACGTGGTAGTTAGGAGTGTGGTTCCAAATCCAACCAAGGGGAGGAAGTGGAACCCAAGATCGGCAGTTCAGGAGGCAGAGGCAGCTCTTAGACATGCAGAGATTGTAGGTAATGTTCAGTTTGGCCGGGGAGGCCTGGGGCTTGGCTCAGGTAAACCGGTATGGAATACAGCAGGCCTCAAAGATAAAAGAAAGCTGGTTGTAGAACAGATACGCAGACAGGAAGAGATAGTAAGGGGTGCAAAGGTAGTGGCCCAGGCTAAACAGGGACAGTGGTTGAATTGGGAAAGTGTAGAGAAGAGGAAGCTTAGTTGGAGGGACCTGTGGAGTATGGAGGAGAATCGTATTAGATTCCTGGTAGGGGCTACATACGATGTGTTACCAACCCCCCAGAACCTAAAACTGTGGGTAAATGAGGACCCATCATGCCCATTGTGTTCACGTACCGCAACCTTAAAGCATATTTTGTCAGGCTGTAAAGTTAGCTTGTCACAAGGCCGATATACATGGCGACATAACCAGGTGTTGAAATGTTTAGCTGCAGGCATCGAAGGGAAACGAAGACAGGTGAATTCAGAAGGTGTTAAGGATAGGGGCTTAGTAATTCAGTTTGTCCGTGAGGGAGAGAAATACAGAAGAGATAAGTTAGTAAGGAGGCAAGGGTGTGGCCTGGGTTTGTTGAAGGTGGCAGTGCTGTTTGGGCTGAGAAAGCCATGTGTAAGTAAGGTAAAGGAGGTTATTGGGTTGGTGTGGGGAGCAGTGAGACCTGGCATTAGGGGAGTGTCTCTGGGACGCCAGAGATCACTGTCTAGCCTCCTGGAGGTGTCGTGGGACCAAAGACGAAACACTGGTGAAAGGAGGTTCCCACCCGATGACCCCAAAGACATGTTAGTTATCACTGCTCATTGGTTTGTATAGTTAAGCCTTGCTATATTAGCTTATCTTAGGGCTTTGGAGGTTATTCACTGAGTGCTGATCCTTTCTCTAGAGCACAAACTTCTTGTGTTTATTTGAATATATATATGTATGTATGTATGCATGTATGTATACATTTATACGCAATGTATACATGTATAGAGGCATGGCCCTCCGTAACATAATGCAGAAACAGATTTTATACAGCTATTATTCTTTTATAGAGAGCTTGAAGGAGCTTTAATCTTATGAATGGCCCTACTGGCGTGCCCAGGCCAGAGTGCAAACTTGCTTAGAAAGTATGCTATTCTATTCATGTTTCAGTTTTACAATATCCTTAAGTACGTGTGAAGATGGGGCTGTTCTGTACTGCTTTTCAAGCAAGGTGATTTGCTTGTCTATTTCTAACAGCCTATTTCCCCTTTGCTTGTGTAGCTTCATATGATATCACAAATCCTCTTATTACTACTTTAAAAGCTTCCCACAAAGTTGAGTCTGAAACATCCCCTGTATCACTGAAAGCCACATATTCCTTAATAAAAACTGAACATTTTTCAAAAATATTTCATCATTCAGTGAGTTCGGGTTAAACTGCCAATTGTAATGGGTCTTCTTCCATCCAACATCAATGCCAACAGTAACAGGACTATGATCTGAGATTAAGATATTGTGATATTTTGATGAGGAGATGGCTGCTGCCATTCTAGAGTCAATTAAAAAGTAGTCAGTTCTTGTATAGGTGCTGTGAACTTGGGGGAAAAAGGAATATTCTTTTTTAGCGGGATGCTGAATTCTCCAGATATCAACAAGATTAAGAGATTTCATCAAACTGTTGAGTACGACAGTGGAGTCTGAAGGACTGATCGGGTGTGAGTAAGATCGATCCATAAATGTATCTAAATACAGTTAAAGTCTCCAACTATTAAGTTGGTCGTGAATAAATCAGGAATAAGACTGAAAACACCACGGAAGAAGCCTAGGTTGTCAACATACACACATTTTAACACATTTTAAAGATATTTTTAGGGCATCTTAGCCTTTAATCGACAGGACAGACAAGTGTGAAGGGGGGAGAGAGAGAGGGGGAGTGACATGCAGGAAATGGACACAGGCTGGAGTCGAGCCTGGGCCCCTGTTGCAGCAGCCTTGTACATGGGGCGCCTGCTCTACCACTAAGCCACCAGCGCCCCGAGGTGTGTGTATATTTAAGAGGGTGACATGAAGCTTCAGAATAGTGCCAGTCACCATTATAAAGCGACTATTTGGATCAGTTTTGGTGGATATGTGTTGAAAAGGAATGTTCTTTTTAATTAATATGGCAACACCACGTGCT